CAGTACGAGCGTGTGGTACGACCTAAAACAAGTAAGTTTTTGACTTTACCAATTGTATCTTCATATTCTAGAAAAGTTCACAGAAACGACTGAAACCAGCTTCGGAATCCATTTCCTATATCTCTCAGATTGATTAATTTTGATTGTGAATGTGATCTAAATGTTGCCATCATATAGGTGATCATGCACATTCTGCTTTAGGACCATAATGGTTCATAGACAACTCAAAATATCTCTTCATGACTTCTAATTGATGAAAATTCAGGAGTTCTTGTCACTGGTGCCTCTGGATATATCGCACTGCATTGTGTAAAGCAACTACTGGAAGACGGTTACACCGTTCGAGGAACTGTCAGAAATCTTCAAAATTCAGCAAAAGTATCACTCTCTATCAATTCAATCATTTGGTTTATGAGCAATTTGTAATCATGAATGGAGTAATTGCTGCACTTCCTGCTATTAATAGTAACATGAACAATCTTACTTCGATAGTTTCTCGAAAACGAACCTCACGTTCTCGTTCTGAGTATCGTCTCAGTTATTTCCACTCATCCATTAGTCGTAAATGTTTAAGTGACCGGCACAATAAGCATTTTACTGAACGGTTTTTAATTGTCGATGCACTTAGCAGAATGTGAGATATGAGTTTCGATAAACTACTTTGCAACTAACTAAGACTACAGATTCAATCACTATTGTGAAAGGAGAACATCTCATTTAGAATACTCCATAACGGTATCTTCAACAAATCCCTCTGAACTGAATTCATTTGTATATTTTTATTACCTCAATCGCATGAATGTAATTACTTTCCCAGCATCATATTTTGAACCAAAATTACGACTATCGTCTCCGATAAAATTGATAAATGAAGCAATCAGACATTAAATTGTTTCCCTTCATAAGAGCAACTATCAGTTGTCAGTCAACCATGAGAAATCCGATTCAGATTTCGCCTCTACTTGCGCTCAAGTATAGTTCTGAAAGGTTGGAACTAGTCGAAGCTGATTTGGAACATGCTGAAGATTGGTCAAGGTAGAAGATTTTTGCAGTTGGCTTTAGTCAACAGTGACCGATGCTTTTCCACAAATAATATTTATTTTCAAGATTTAAGACATTCAGAGAGCTCATTTTTTCCATTCTGATGCCAAAACGCTTTTATGAACATGATCAGCTTTACTTGTTTTATCTATTGATGTAACAATCAAGAATTCATGCTCAAGTTCCTTGCTTTCTAAAGTTATATCGTTGCGTTTGTTCCAGTGTTCTCGATGGTTGCGACTATATTCTTCACGTCGCATCCCCTTGGCCAATTATCGCCGATGAGAATACGGTGAAAGTAGCCGTTGAAGGTACCACGAACATCTTGAAGGTGGCCGCGAAGATACCAACAATTAAAAAAATCGTCTTGACAAGCAGTTGCTCGGCAATTAATGGTGTGCATTTCTAATGGATAGCCTCCTTAGTATCGGTATTTGCAGATAATTTAGAGAGTTTGTCGATCATAATCCAAAAAATTCCTGCAGATAAATTCTATCACTCGCACACAGTCAGTGAAATGTGTTTATTGACTTTTGAAGTGGTCATTCAGCAAGTAATATTGCTTCAATACCTAAAAATTTCCTTGGTTATCCAAATTTGGTAGTGACGATTGTTATTTGTGACTTGATTGCAGATGGCCACAAAAATGGATCGCGTATCTTCAATGAGGAATGCTGGACGGATTTGCAAAGTGATGCAGTGGAGAATTATGCCCGTTCCAAGACGATCGCTGAGCGAACTGCGTGGGATATGTGGCACGCCATGGATCGTTCGGTTTTTTGCACATTATCACAAATATTTGCAGCATTCTTTCGAAATTTGCCATTTTCGATCCGTATGCATGATCGAAGGTTATTCTGTCTCAAGTCAGTCCTGAATGATTTCTCCATATTTCAGCCGACAACCGATTTCAATTAACCGTTATCAATCCATCGCTTGTGGTTGGCCCGGTTCTCTCGAATCAACCACATGGCAGTGCTACGGTTTGTTTTTTTTAATGGCAAATTGAGCCTTTGAAACAAAAATCAAGAAATTGAAATAATTTGTCAGGAATTTTGTCAACGAAATACCTATTTGAGTAGCATTGACATTGGACAATTTCATGTGATTCGATGAATTCAAAAACTGAGCGATTTGAATCGTAGATAATGGGAAGAATGATGAGCAGACGCGATTATCTTGCGTCACCGAAAGTTTCAATCGGTCTTGTTGATGTTCGAGACGTGGCTCGAGCTCACATCACCGCAATGACCACTCCTGAATCTGACGGACATCGCATTCTGGTCACAGCTACACCATGCGTTTGGTTCGGTGATATCACTCGATGGTTACGCAAAGAATTCAAAAGTCAAGGTATCCAATGAAATGTGCTTGGCAAGAATAAGATCAGTTTGTAAATTACTTGGATGGTGCCTCTAATTAGAGTTGCTCTCGAGTGAAAGTCACTCACTTAGCTGAAGAAAACTCCAGTGAAGTGATGATAACTTTCCAAATTCTGCACACCATGCAAATGTTTATATGCTCTCAAACACGGATAATTCCTTTACAAGAGTCCCTTGTTAATAGAACAGGATTGGAATAGTCCACTGAACAGCGTCAACTTTCAGGTTATGACATAACGCAATTCGTTATACCGAATTGGATACTTCGTTTGTATAATAAAACAGGAGTTGATCCGCAAACAAACGCCATAATGCATAGGCTTGGACCGGAACTTCGCTTTAACAACACAAAGGTACCACTTCGATAGGTTTGATAAAATGCTCGCAATCATTTGACTTACTTTCCATTCAAAAAAAATTAATCGAAACAAATCATTTGCTCATGTTCTCGTAAAATAAGCTTAGCTTATCACTACCCAATCGTAAGTTGCAAATGCTAATTGGAAATTTAGCGCTTTGGGAATTTTCTGACATCTTTCTCGTTTCAGTCAAAAAAATTGTTGAAAATGGAGTACACTGATCCGCAGGAATCAATAATCGACATGATGTATAGTATGATTGAGCACGGCATGGTGAAACGTACGTCCAAGTTTAAACCACCTCCTAATCCATCTAACAAGGTTCACTGTTGTCGGATTATAAATCCGCGTTCTTCTTCTACAATCATTTAAAACACGGTACTCATCAAAAACCAGTAATCTATTGTATGTTCGTGTATTTCAATGTACTGAAATTAGAACAATTTGTCGCGTGTTGTTTTCGAGAGATTCGCAGCTTTTCAGTACCATGGCCGATGTGACTTTTTTACTGATTAAAGAAGGATACATCTGGTAACAAAACGATGGGAATCTCAAAGAATATATTGTGGAAATCCTAGAAGCCAATTATCGGAATGAAGAACCTGTAGGAAAATTCGTTTTTTTGCTATGGGCTACTACAAATTAGAGAAAACTTCTAAATAATTTCAGTTCATTCAATAATCTTTTTTTTCGAATGATATTTGTGCATGTTTGTAAATATGTGTATTGTATTGAAAACTGACTGAATGTATTGTAAATACTATTGATTATTTCATTGTACCTCACACCTGATCATTCTCGCAGGCCCATATCGTATCACTTGTTGTATGATAATTTCGATAGCCACTGTTTATTACTTACTGCTTCATTCATTTCTTCGCTTGTCACGATCAGAATTCAATTGTATGCACTCCAAATTTATACGTTCTTGAATTAAAGTGTCTG